TGTTGGATTCCTGGGTGCCACAGGAGCTCTAGTACCAAATGTAAGAGGATAGAAGTTTACCCTAGGAGAGGAACTACCCTTTGGGTAGGTTTTGTGTACTCTTTGTGAGACTACTGCCTAAGCTTGTGTGGCTACAGACTTCTACAAAAGGGAACTGTTGTCTGTTTTCCATCTGCCCTGACCTTTGCTTCCTTGCATTGAATCTAGCAGTTGTCAGCATTTGGGTGGGTCAGTTCAGGATAAGGATTCCACAGAAAACTATCCAACCAAAAAAGGAGTAGCAACTTTCCACGGGTTTGACAGGCTTCTGCAGAATTTCCTTGGTTCCGCACAGTTGCGGTGCTAATGCAGGAGATGGAGGTGGGATCATGTAGGGCTGTGAGGAGAGATGTGGTGGTACTTCAGACAACTTCCCGTTCTTACACTGACTTAAATGTCGTATGGAACAACATCCTGTCAGTGACTTGTATTCCTCTTCAGTTCAGGAATAAAGAAACTTAGCAGTACAAATCAGAGTGCTGCATCAGTTTTGCAGTTGGAAGATTTCAGTCTGTAGAGGTTATCTTGGGACTTATCTAACATAAGTGTTTACTCCTGTTCAGTATTTAAGAAAGAGTGAGAAGTTGTAGTTTTTCCTGTCTGTCTAGATTCACACAGTGCAAGCGTATATGCACATCAGTAACCCTAGCCCATTGGTTTCAATCAGACAGCTTAGATGCAGAAAGATGAAGGGTTTTATGTGGCCAGGTAGTTTCCCATTGGAAAGGTGAGCTTTATTTGTATTTTTATTAGCTTTTTTGCTATGTTAGCATTTGTTAGTCAGTCTTCAGTGGATATTTCTAGGCTGGTGTGTTTATACACAAGCGTTATCGAACTCTTATGATGTGGCTCATAGTTAAAATGTGCATTTACTATGAGACAGAGGACATCGAAATAGTATGTCCCTTGTAACAATTCTTTAACTTTTTAGTCCTAAACTTATCAAGGCATTATCTAGATTCTAATTAGTATTTTTGATTGTTGAAAAGGACTCTACTGTTGCTGTATGTTATAAATTCCTTTGTATGGGTTTTGTAATTTTTTACATATGGTAATGAATTGAAATGTAGGAGTCTTTCCAGTAGCATGTTTACTCATAATTACGAGGTCACTAAACTAGTCAGTTATTAGATGCATTCAGACAGAAGAGTCCCCCTAAACTAAAGAAAAATAATTCTACTTTACACAGGTTGGATGGAAAAGATATTTTATTGTTATATTTATTAGAAATAAAAAGAAATTGTATACATTAGTACATCTACATTAGTACATTTCAGCTAATGTAGTTCATGCCTTGCTACTCCTCAGTTGATCGACTCTTTACCATAAATATGATGAGGATGGGGGAATATATGTACATGCATATAGTGTCTTCTAAGCTCTCCCCTCCTAAGCTTACTAACCATCTCCTGAGTTCTGGAGGCTTTAAATGGGCTACTTGATTGCCCTTATAAACTAGATATGGTTCCCCAATGGAATAATTGATACACCAAAAAGTAAAGAAGGCTTTAAAAGTGTCACTTTCACACTCTAAAAAATATAACCAGAAAAAGTATTGTTGATGATGGGATTTTTAAAGACACTAAAGGGTCATGTTTATAAACTTGTGAATTTATTGTGCTTTGTGGAGGTCTGTGGTGTTTTTTTCCTTCATATTTTACAGGAATGTAATCTGATATAGTCATTATGAAGAACTAGTGAGAATAGTTGCTTTTCAGTAACAAAAATAATTTGGAAGGGAAAGTGATTTAATAGCATGAGCTTAATTCCTATATTAAGTCTGAAAAAGACCAGCAGGGTTGTCTTCAGGCCTGAAGTGTCTGTAAACATAAATTTAATTTCTTTATGCATATATTGGTATGTACTGAATCTGTAATTATTTTTTTTTTATTTATTCTACTTTAGTAGAATAGAAGAGTTTTATTACTCCAGATATATACTTCAGGAGAAATTTGCTGGTTTTTCTTTTTCGAATTTTTAGGATTCCTATTCTTATGTTCGATCTACTGCCCCAGTTGTAGCTTATGACAGCAAACAATACTATCAACAACCAACAGCGACTGCTGTGGCCCAGCCTCAACCTTCAGTAGCTGAATCATACTACCAGACAGGTGGGTGACATGATTCAAACTCCTGTCATTATACACAGTCTGTATACTACTTTAATACCTTAAAAATATATGTCTTTGAATATTTCACATTATCCAGATTATTTTATTGGTTTTTAGTTTTGACTGTCAATGTGTAGAAAAATTTGCTGCACCTAGAACTTGAACATTATTGTGAAGTTGCCATAAGTAACTATCTTTGAGGTTTGGATTGTTATTAAATACACTCAAAACATATTTCTGGGCAAACTTTTTTGCTGAAGTAGGTTCAAAAAATCAATGGTGGGTTCAGATGATGACTTGGTTAGACTATTTTTTAATTCTTTAGTTACTTTGTGTATGTAGTTCTTTAATTATTGGTATCATAAATGCTACAAAGCATAAATCCTATTTACTTTTTTTTTTTTACTATAATTAGGAATAATAGGAAAGTTTAGATGTACTTTGGTTTAGTGTACTCTAGTAAAACCATTGAACTAGAAGGTTGTTTAAAAACATGGCAGCACAGTTAAAAATACAGAAATAAATCTGAGGCTTACTAGTGTGAGCTGTGACACGATTAAACAGTTGTGTGATATATGGTAGGCGATGCATAACCATTACATTAAAAACAAACAAAACAAAAAAGAAAAAAAACAACCAAACTAAAACAAAAAACTTGTTATGTGTTTATTCCCCAGTATATCATTAAGTATCACTTAATATGGTTTGCATTTCAACTAAAACATATCAATGTTTGTACACTTCTGTTTTCTATCCTAATTAGCTCCAAAAGCAGGATATAGCCAAGGGGCAACTCAGTATACCCAAGCCCAGCAAACACGACAAGTGACAGCTATAAAACCTGCAACCCCAAGTCCAGCAACAACTACATTTTCTATATATCCAGTATCCTCTACTGTGCAGCCAGTAGCAGCTGCAGCTACTGTTGTTCCATCCTACACTCAAAGTGCAACGTACAGTACAACAGCAGTTACTTACTCTGGTAAGAATTTTCATATTATGTTGCTGGGATCTTTGCAATTGTTACAGGAGAGGATTTAAATACTCAGAATTCTAGCAGTTAGTGTTCAATTACACCATAGTCTACTGAGAAGTATCCACCAGTTAAATCATAATAATTGCGAAATATTTTGATGTATCTTTAAAAGAGGTTTGATGTTTGTATGTGCCTATTTTGTTACATGTGAGAATATACAAAGTGTTGGCATTGCTACATACACAGTGTTTTGTGACTTACTGTAAGGTTTGGAGGGAAAAGACGGGGATAGAAAAAATAAGGAAACTCATCCACACAAATATAACCCAGGGAAATTTGGAGCATGCTGCCATTAAACAGCAGTTACAGAGACAGGGAGCAGCAGTCCGATATAAATCTTGTAAATTTAGGTTGTTCTGACCCAAAATGGGAGGAGAATGGGTGCTAAAAAAAAATAATACTTTCCTTCAAACATTAGAAATTCAAAAAGTAGTTACAGATGAAAAGATGTTAACTTTATGGCCAGATGGTAATCAACTGTCATATTATAGCTACCTTGCACTTTTTGGTTTTTTCTGTTTAAAAAGGGATTTTAAGACTTCTTTGAAACAGAGCCTGATCAGAGGATTAAAATAGTTGAACCAGTAGATGTAGAAAGTTTATGGGAAAACTGGCTCAAAGGTATGAAAGCCCAGTTTCCTTGATTTATTCAACCTTGCTATTAGAAATCAAGGAGTGTGTAGACAAGGGTGTGCCACAGAGGTTTTAGCGGGCAAGCAGCTTCTCTGCACTAAAACAATTTAAATCAGTGAAATAGAATGTAATAGCACTAGCCATTCTTTTATTTTTATTTTTTTTCCCTTCTTCAATATAATATCTGTCCTCCTTTTCATTTTGGAACTTGAACAATAAATCTGGTTCTGGAAGACTGCTTACTTCAAGTGGCCTTTGAGAAATCTTTTATTAAAATTCTTGTTACATCATACTTGATCTTACCCAGATGTACCAGGAAATTTCACATATTCTTTAGGGATGCTTTGATATATCTAACATAACTGTGTATCTGTAAATATTTGTCTAAAATCACATAGCATACCACTTGTATCAAGAAAATATTTATTTGTGTACTGTGAAAAATCAAGAAATCAGACCGCGTAACAAGATCTCAATAAATTGTTTGTATCCTGCTCTGCCGCGCCCCTCCCCCCCCCCTCAACTCTATTATGCAGCATGCTTGGAATTAGTGTATTATGTAATTGATACATGATGTACAGTGATGTAACATTTATTTTATTTTGATCTTTGAGGTACCTCTTAGCTGCTGCTGCAACAGCTGCTTGGACAGGGACCACCTTTACTAAAAAGGCACCATTCCAAAATAAGCAACTGAAACCAAAGCAACCTCCCAAACTGCCCCAGATCCACTACTGTGATGTTTGTAAGATCAGCTGTGCTGGACCACAGGTACCTGTATTATGTAATATTCTGCTATACACTTTAGTCATAATTTTTTCAGCTAAAAAAAATGACCCCTTTAAGAATTGTTAATTGTTAATTTTTAAAGACCTGATTCTATACTTTTACTAAATTTTAAATGAAAATGTGTGCTATTATAGAAAGAGATCCTATGAAAAAAAAACAAAAAGATGGATCCCCTTAGCTTGTACAGAGAAGCTTCAGCTGTGCTTTGGACTCCAGAAGTATTTTAAACTTTGAATTTTATTTGCTTTTTTAGCATGGTAAACTTAGAAAATACTTTTTTCAAAACTTTGTGAATGGTAAGCCTGAAAATTTATTCTTCATTGTACTCCAGCATCCCAGTTTAGTTTCACAGTGGGTACAAGTGCATAAAAAGTAGATATCAATTCATGCAGTGTGCGTGTGTTTGGCAAAACAGTTCTTACTTTTTAGATAAATTTGTCATAATTTCCCACCCTGTCTACTCTATAGATTGCTAGTGTTGGTATAGGAACAAATAACAGCTTCTGCATTTCATTTTCAGCACAGCTTTATTTATGTGCTACCTTCTTTTGAATTTATTTTTTAAGTTCTCTGGATACATTTAATAACTGTTGTCTTGCAGTTTGAGGAAAATTCAAAATCAAGAATAATTCAATGCAATGCAGGAAACTGAAACTGAGATGCAGTTTTTTGATCCTATCAAGCTTTCAGTGGTAATATCTGTTGACCTGTATGTGATTGAGGAAGTGAGAAGGTAGAGAAGAAAAGACCATATTGTATTACCTAAAAGTGGAATCCTGGTGGTGAAGAAAATTTCTTGGTCTTACAGGTGGCCTACTTATGCCTTAGAGCACATCATATGGAAGAAATGTTCAGTGTAGGAAGTATTTTTGATACAAAGCATGTGTTTTATGCTATGTTCTATATTACATGTATTCACATGAATGATGAACGAGCAGTACAAAGACAGCTTATTGTGTGTATATTGTTTATTTAAACAGACTTATAAAGAACACTTAGAAGGCCAGAAACACAAAAAGAAAGAAGCAGCATTAAAAGCTTCCCAGAACACCAATAACAGCAGCACTTCTGCTCGTGGAACTCAGAATCAGTTGCGCTGTGAGCTTTGTGATGTGTCTTGTACAGGAGCAGATGCTTATGCTGCCCATATCCGTGGAGCCAAGCATCAGAAAGTAAGAACTTTCTCTTGTCCTTCTCTTGTTGTATATTTCTTCCCATATTTTTTTCTCAATTTAGAGAGGACAAAATACGCAGAAACAATATAATCTGAATTATTTTGTTTAAAAATGTTTAGTTCTGCTTTTTGTTTCAAACTTATCTTTAAGCTCACTATTAGAAGGGCCTTGTTGGGAGAAAGGGGCAAAAAATATTGCCACGGCATCAATGAGAAGAGGATGTGTTGGGGAAAGTATGTAAATCATAGGAAGAAGGTGTCGAGTAAGATGGGGAAAAGTGTCAATGAGGACATGCAGTAGCATGCTTGTGCCCTATAACTCTTTTCAAGACTTTCCTTGACATTCTTCTTATTTGTTTGGTGCTGTGAAGCTCTTTGAAACACTGTAAGCTGAGTAAGTGCCAAGGGACAGGACTATAATGCATCACTTTTTGGTATTTCTTGCTAAGAAAATTGGCATATGGGAGTAAGGAACAATGTCTTGTAGTAGACTTTATAATGAGTATGTTTGGAAGAGTTTTGGTAAGTGTGCTTTCCCT